CAGGAAATGCAATCAATATCTTTATCATTCATTAGTAAATTATCTTTATTTTTTCTCTGCTGACTGACCGACTGACTGACTGACTTTAAACCTATTAAAAATCGATCAATTATCATATGGAATGTGTGTGTGTGTGTGTGTGGAAATCAGCTGATTTTGTGTTATATAGCTGATTATTATCGTAGATCCAATTGTCTGTATTTCAGTCTTGTATGTATGTATGTATGTATGCGTGGGTTATTTATTAGCTTACATAGTTATGTAATTCCATTTTAAGTATCAGGATTTCAGAGTGATGTGTGTTTTTGCCATGCTTATCGCTGAATGATTAGAAATTAGCCAAATTCGCGTTAAAATGGTAAGTATTCAGGTGGTTGTGTCAGGTGATCCTTAATCGGAAAACTCAGCAGGAGTAAGATAAGGTTGGCATCTGTTATCACCGACGGTATTCCTGATTGTGGTAGACGGCGGCAGACTGTCGCGAGTGAGAAGATCTGGATTTCCCGCGTGGATGATTCATGTTCAAACTGGAACACTCGCAGGTGAAAATCAACCAACTGACAGATGAAACAGGCAGCGAAAACAAGACCTCCAGGTGAACATAGAGAAGAAAGAGGTGATGAAGATAACCAACAGCAAGCAGCACCAATCATCATCAATGGGAGAGAGTTGTTGGAGGTTACTTCTTTCACTTATCCGACTAGGAAGTATTGCTACAACCAAAGGCGGCGACATATGGCACGGATGAAGATGTCAACACCAGCCAGTATGAATCGGAAAAGCAACATACACCTTCACATCAAAAATCGTCTGCACTCCACCTAGGTACAAATGGCAAGATTCACATTTTCAACACAAATGTCAAGTCAGTCAGTCAGTCAATGAGTTCAGTACGTTGGTGGCACATTGGTTAGGACGCTCGCTGACCATGCACTTGGTCCGGGATTCGATTCCCGGTCGGCGCACACCCGATATCAGTGGTCAGCCTGCTAAATTTGGGCTACAGATATCGCATACTGAAAATTCCATACTTGTACCAAAATACTGTGTGGAATCAAGCTATAATAAATGAAAAAAAATATATGGCTAAGCAACGTGCCTTAGCCAGCGCATCACAAATATTCTATTTGCAAATGCCTGCTGCAGACGTTTATCATCAGCTGCCCACTTCACTGGTTCCATAGTGAAGATCGAATGGCCAGCTACCCAGATAGAATTAGCAACAATAAACTTTGGGAACTACGTAACCAAGATCCTATCGCTCAACAAATGCGTTTATGAGAAAATGAAGATGGATTGGTCACACGCCATCTAATGGAACTCGAGTGGGAAATGATGAGTTGGGCGTTCGTTTGAGAGTTGTATGGAGAAGATTGTGTGTGTGTGTGTGGATAGGAGGAGATGAGAAATTATGGGTTATCGTGGGTCTAGCTGATGAAGAGGATAGCCGAAAATTGGGAAGTAGAGATGTGTTGTTGAAGCGCTATGTTCCACTAGGAATCCAAGGGAACAATAATAATAATAATAGTGATACAAGTGAACTTTGGGTTGCATTTCTGTTATACTTAGTATTTGTGGCTGGTTTATTCAGAAGGTAATTGAAGCTTCAATGTTAAATATAAGACGATGATGGCTGAATATATATTGAGCCACTTCAGTTATTTTGGAAATTTCATCAGTCTTTAGTGGACTGATTACCACCGACAAAATCTTGGCTTAACACAGGGAAAGTGAGCGTGATTTTCACTCTCTAACATTAGATGGTTGGAGGAAATCGGCAGGAAGCCTTGGACCTAGGTTTCGTGTTAGTTGGCACTCATGAGCAAGGCGTATCTGCAACCTGCACATAGGATAGCAGGCGTAGATAGCAAGGTGTATCTGCACCGAAGATAGGACTAGACACATCACACTAGTTACTGACTAGTGTGCAATCAAAAATAAGCAATACAGTCCTACAGGAGGTCAGTCGCGAGCCTGAATAGCTCAGTGGTAACGTCTCTGACTGCAGCACTGGGTGACGCGGGTTCGAATCTCAGAAGGAACATCAGTTCCTTCAAGGTTGCAGATGCGCCTTGCTGATGAGTGCCAACTAGCATGAAACCAAGGTCCAAGGCTTCCTGTGGCCGATTGCCTCCAACCATCTAATACCAACAATTCACAGTGGACCGTAATGATGAGGCACCTAGCATGGTGGCCACATTGTAAACATGACTGATAGAATTCAGTCTGCACCGAAGATAGGACTAGACACATTACACTAGTTACTGACTAGTGTGCAATCAAAAATACTCCCTGACATGCATTATCTTTCGCCTAGGCGTGATATTCGACTATCTATAATAGAAAAAACTAGTGTGTACAGTACAGTGGTTTGCTCCGTATTATTTGAAGGATATGAGCCATGAATGTTGATAGTGTAAGATATGAAAGACTTAGTTATTTTAATCTATATGTTTCTGCCTTCAATTTTTCGTGTCGGTTGATAATTAAGAGGTTAGGCATAGTGTTTGTTAGGTAAAGGGGGAGAAAGTCGATCGATGAGATTCTGGTGGTGGTGGTGTGTGTGTTACTTCCCCGTTTAACAATGTTAACTGACATGGGATGATCAGGTGGAAACGTTATGGCAATCCATGAAGTGTTGGCTTCAGCCAGCCAAGTAGGGTTGGTGGTGTAGACTACCTAGTTGGGGCAGTCGGTATACTTACAGTTTTTATGTGATGGCTAAGAATTGTTCACAAAGGTATAGATGCATTCACTGCTTGTGATGTCCCAGATTCGAGAACCACTAGTAAATCGACATCCAATTTCGTAGCTTTTCATTCCTTTTGTTGGGTGGTAATTTCGCCAAGTGTGGCAAATTTAACTGATGATGCCTTTTCATGCAAATGTTGATATGTATACATATTTCGCCTATTTAAGTGTTTACTATTACAGTATAAGTGCTAGTAATACATCTTTAATCATCCAAGTACCTATTTGCTCAGCATACTCTCTCATCCTTTTGTTCTGTTCTGTTTGTATAATGATAATTATGCTTAGAAACTCCAGGCATTCATTTTTGCACCGGTGAATTCGAATCCTGGTTTTTACGTATTTTCAAGGGCTGATCTGTGGGGATCCGATTTGTTTATTAAGTTTAACCATGGATCATATAAAATCCTTACAAACCAATTCTTGAAAATTAATTTAGTGCTTGCTAGTAGTGACTGGCTCTACAGGAAGGAGTTTCGTGGAGTTCTAGTGAGAAGTTGTGACCACTTGGGGTCCATCCTGTCAGCAGTGAGGACAAATGTTTGCCGATGACATTAGTTGGTGCCAGTCACGCTGACGTTAGAGTTCATGGGCTGGCCATTGAGCTGGGTTCCAATGGCTGAATGGTCTACGACCTCGCCTTGTAACCAGACGGTCCTAGGTTTGAACCCCGATCTGCCAGTTTACGCCGTCTCTGGCGTAGACGTGATATCCGACTATCGACCAAAGGCCGTGTGTAATGCTCATCAGTCCGCTCCGGCTTCCTTTATGGCTGTGAGACCTGGTCATTGAGAGCGGAAGACATGAAAAGATTAGCTGTCTTCGATCATAGGTGTCTGCGTTCTATCTCCCGCGTGAAGTAGTATAATAAGGTGAGCAATATTGAGGTTTGGCGTCGAGTGCTAGGTAAGGCGGGGAAACCAATCGGTGAGGCTGTGAAATTACATCGACTGGATTAGATGGTTAGGACATGTGTTACTCATGCCTAGTCATCGCCTTCCTCGACAATGGGCAATGTTAGCTGATATAGGGCCAGGCTGGGAAAAAGCTAGCGGCGGTCAAACCAAAACATGCCTTCACCAGTCAATGAAATCTACAACAGTTAGTCTAAGCCAGTCACGTAGGAAGGTGTAGACTGGCTTCCTGGTTGGGGTCCTCGGGACGATACAAACCAATGTTTGGAAACAATTAGTGACATGGCTCGAAATCGTTCTCAATGGCTGGTGCAAATGCATCCACTCCTTGTGACTTATGATTTCCAATGAAACTGTTTTGTTCTTCGTTATTACTATACCTTTGTCTCACATCTCTGTTTACTGTCTATATTATGCATTTCTTCTCTTGCTTGGTGTGCTACAAGGAGGGAGTGTGGTGACTTGAACTGCCGCACATATGTGCAAAGTTCTATGTCGAAAAGCGACCGACCTGAACCCCGATCTATTGACCTGTAGATTCTAACTTCTGCCAGTTTGTGGCATGGTGCGACCACTTCACAATGTCTTCTTCGATAAGTTACTGCCTCACCCTCAACCTGCTGCACCCTACTGGTCACGGCTTCCCACTAGAACCCCAGGTTAACTACCTGAATTGGGCCAGTTGCTAGTGAGCATCAGATTAATTTTCAAGCTTTGGTCTTGTAGGGATTCTGTTTGATGTCAGCTCATGATGAAATCCTCAAACCAATCAAACAAAAATCAATACTTGAAAATTTATCTGATGCTCACTAGCAACTGGCCCTATTTAGGCAGTTAACCTGGGGTTCTAGTAGAAAGCCGTGACCAGTAGGGTGCAGCAGGTTGAAGGTGGTGAGGTAGTAAGTCAACGGAGAAGACATTGCTAAATGGTCGCACTGTGTCATGAATTAGCAGAAGCCAGAATCCATAGACTGGCCATTGGATCAGGTACCAGTGTCTACTGTATGGTCTACGAGCTCGCTAGGCTTGTAACCAGAAGGTCCTGGGTTCGAACCTGCTTTCGTGGGTGCGTATTACTGAAGAGCCCCAAATTGGGACGAAACTAACTGGTTGACGTTTCGAATGTAGTTTATTGCTTATGATTATATCAAAGTGTCATGGGTAAATTATGTACTAAATTTCAATCAGTTAATAAAGTCTACATCACTACAGTCTTTCTGTCATTATAAACTATATAAATATAATACTATAAATCATCATTATTGTGAACTTTATAATATTGTACTCATAATGATAAAAATAATTATTTTTTGTTTTGTTTCAATCAATATTTTAGCATGGTGTCTATGACTACAGGATCGTTTATTTCTGCAGCTAATATCAATACAGGTGTTAATCAACTTAGTATATGGCTTACTAGTCAGGCTATTAATGTACCAGCTGGTTGGATTGATGCATGTGTTGCTTGGCTTGCAGAAGAGCATGGTGGTATTGATGCATGCGGTCATTTGACAAAATCTGATTGGTGTCAGTTAATCTATGAACAATGGCTTCATTCTGATTTGAAACAATTGGCGTGTCCTGTCCTTCCGTCAACTGTACCTACTGGAAACAATCGAAGTGATTATTTGAGAAGCAGTAGTAGTAGCAGTACAAATGATACTGGCTCACATGCACTGAAATTAGATGGTGAACTATGCCTCCAGGTAGATTTATCAAGGTGTGATTCACCTTTTTCACCTTTGTTGTTCATTGTTTTGTGTACTATTTATTGTATCTATTGTGTTGTGTCAACCATTCATCGTCTAACATGTGTTTTTAGTTCCGTTAATAGAATATCGACCTTCTGTTGTAAAGCGAGAAGAGAAGAGACTTGGTAGCGGACTTTTGTATTATTAAGGAAAAAAACACGCCATATTTATACATTTTTAGCCACATTTAAGGTCAGTATGGGAGGTGACTGTCATTCTGAGCTGTGCTCAATGATGATCCTTAGTGTGGCGATTTGATCAATACATGACTTGTTTCTCCTGAATCCAGCCTGTTCCGGCCGAAGTTTCTCATCCAGGTCGGCGTGTTTGATTCTCTCCAGGATGATGCGGCTTAATATTTTGCTTGGGATGGACAGGAGCATAATTCCGCGCCAGTTCTTGCATTGACTTTAGTCTCCTTTCTTCTGTAGTTTGAATAAGTATCCCTTCTTCCAATCCTCGGGTACTTTGCCTTCTTTCCACACCTTCTCCAGTAATGGCGTCATCAAGTCCGCTGTTGTCTCTGGGTCCACTTTCAATGCTCCTGCTGGGATTCCATCTGGTCCTGCTGCTTTTCCAGCTTTCACACACACAAACCAGTAAAATCGCTTAATTCGATATTATGCAAACCAAAAGATCCAACAGAAAAAGGGGATAAAATTAATACCATTTACAAAATAAATTGTATGAACTGTAACAAGCATTACTTCGGCCAAAGTAGGCGTCCCCTTCGAATCAGAATCCAAGAACATAAATCAGCCGTGAAAAGACACGATATGTATTCTTCAGTATCAATGCATATAGACAATTATGGTCATCAATTTGATTGGGATAATGTCAAAATCTTAGACAGAGGAAGCACCAAAAGTACGGTCAAGGAATTCCTAGAAGCCTGGTACTCTAACGAAAATGCAATTAACAAACACTTTAATATAGATGAAATATACCAATTAATAAAAAGTAAATCAGGTGACCAAAACGTTTAAAATCCAAGTCAATAGAAAATGGTCAATACATATGTAAAGACAGTTACCAGGAGACGCAATTACACCACTCATGAAGAAATTTAAATCATTTCGCTTTGTGCTAAATATGGCGCTGAAGATGTTGTCCAGAAGGACGACGAAAGCTTCGCAACTGAACCAACCAGCTCAGAGAACACTATTAATTGCAAAAGAAAGATAATTGTGTTAGTCTATTTGTTCATTTGTCAATTTGATTTTTTGTGTTTAGGTTGTCAATCTATTTAACATTGGTGAATCATTCTATGGTCAAATGAGACGATATGAGGGTAATTTAAGCGTTAATCTGCCACCATTGGAAGTGGATGGCGATGAAAATCCTGATGGTAATGCTACTCAAATGACACAGGCCGTTAGTCAATACCTTAATCAAAGTGGTGAGTATTTTCTTACAATATACTTTTATTATTACTATTATTATTATTATTATGATTGTTCTCTTGGGTTCCGAGTGGAATATACAGCTTCAACAACACGTATCCAATTTGTCCTATTTTCTGCTGTCCCTTTCATATGGGCCCATAATCTGTCATCTCCTCCTCTCCACATGATCTCCTCCAAGTCACCTCGGGACCGCAGACCAACTCGTTGCTTCCCATTCGCCTTCCACTCAATCGATGGCCTCGATTGAATCCGATGTCATTCGAGGGTCTTCTCAGTGGCGTGTGTGCCCAATCCCTCTCCATTTTCTCCTAAACATATTTGTTGAGAGATAGGTTCTCGGTTACGTAGTTCCCATAGCTTAATGCTGCCAATTCGTCCTCGTCAACCGGTCGTTCGATCATCAATATGAGGCTGGGGAATCGGGTAGCTGTTGATAAATGCTATTCATGACGCACTGGCCAAGTTTCTTATCCATATGGAGTAACTGACTAATTGACTGACTGACTTCACATTTGTGTTGAAAATCCGAATTTTGTTATTCACATACTGAGGCGGAGTGCAGACGATTTTAGGCTGATGAAAGTGTAGGTTTACCTTCTGATTCTGACTATAGCTATACTTCGGCTATCTCCTACGGAAGGATGAGACAGCTTCATGAACATCTCGAATCATCGCTGCCCAGGCGCGGCGATCTGTTGCAAGGTTTTGCGACAAGGTAAGAGAGTTCATGAAGTTTCATGGGAATTTGGTACGAGTGATGTCCCCAGAATCGCTCGGCCTTTTGTTTGAGAGTGCAGCTCTAGCCTTTACACAACCAAGTGTGACCTACAAGGCAGTAGGAGTGGAGTAGGGAGTCCACTATCCATTGGCAGCCGGTGACCGGAGTTCGGTTCATACGCCTTTTTGAATGGGGCCAGACATCCACGACATCCAACAAGCCCTTTGTCCATACGTCTGCCGGTGAGCTCCAGTGAGCTTCATACGCCAGTCGTTGGAGGTTTGGAATCAGGGTTTAGCCATCTCCCCGAGACTGTCATCCAATGGACAGTCAACCCGGTGAAGAGCGCCGGGCATCCGCTTTCGCCCTCTCACTTTGGTGAAAAACACCTCCGCCACGTGAAGGCAGTGAGTAGGACTTCCTCAGGAGAGGCTATGTAAGACGCCCGGTCATATGGGAGGATTTCAAGAGGTGTGCGGAGGGGTGGCCAACCCGCAGCGCAAGGCACCCACCCCCGACCATCCTGAGGCTTTGGAGGCCTCTGACTGGCTGGTGTTGATATCTTCATCCGTGCCTTCTGCCGCCTGTGGTTGTAGCAGTACTTCGTAGCTGGATATGTGAAGGAAGTGATCTCTGTCAAATTTCTTCCGTTAGTGGTGACTGGTGCTGTACATGGTTCCATTATGGATAAAATTTTATTTTGATAAAATCACACTGTTATACAGTAATATTTACTGATGACGTTTTAAGCACAAATTATTGCTCATAATCATATCAAGGCACTACTCACACAACTTTCTCGCTTCATTTATATATATGAGTAAAAATTGAGGATTAGACATTTGAATAAAGTTAGCAATATAAGATACATTCGGTACATTCGGAAATAATATTACTGGTATCAATAAAATAAAATAAGATGGGAAATAGGATGTTTTCATAGTAAGATAAATAACTTGTTAGAGGGTTATGATGTACTTGAATCGAAATATGATTTTAAGATTATTTATTATCAGAACAAGACATATAAGCGAACAATATTGTTTTCAATTAGATCTTCTTCGGGCTTTACTCTAATTTACATAGATTTATATATAAAATTTTAACCAATGACGGTGATTTTGGGAATCAAATAGTAATAATAATAATAATAATAATAATAATAATAATAATAATAATAATGTGGTAAATGTTTTGAACGTAGTTGATAACGATGATTATAATGATAACAAAATATTGATAATAAGGTTTATACAGGTGATAAGAATAACAAAGATAGTATATGTATATAAGTGTATAAATAAATTGGGTCAAATCTTAAAAGGTGAAGTGGAACGATAATCAGAGTTTAAATAAATATTATAAAAGTACGAAGGAGGTGGAAAATAAGAAGGGTGGGAGAGTTTTGAATACAATTCACCTAGGCCAAGGGAGGGACAAAGGTAGAACAAACTTCTTTTGTATGCAAACACTAGGATTGTTCTCTCGAATTCCCATAGCGTCGGCTAGGTGTAAAAGACGGGTTCTGATTCCATTCGAAAGACTCGATGGAATACGATAGATAACTTTGAAAGCACTATTTTTGTCCACTTGGTGACCGTTATCAATCAAATGAGCCAAAATTGAACTTCGTATGAATTTTATTTGACCTTTTCCGAACCATGAAGGAAGATGCTCATTAATGCGTTTGTTCAGTTGTCTAGCTGTTCGCCCTATATAGCTTTCTCCACAGGAGCAACTAAATTTATAGATACACATTTATTATCATCCTCTGGTTTGACTGGTGGTAATAATATTTTCCATATCTCTGGTATCTGGGTTGTGTCACTTCTGTTGCATGTGTTACGTTGGGTGTAGACTCGATGAAAGAGGCGGGATTCGGTAATCAGCCTCTCTCTATCTCCACCTACCTATATATATATATATATATATGCATATATATATATATATATATATACAGAATGTTCTAGAATGATCGTCATTATTAATATTGATGTGTTTTAAATATTATCGATTTATGAAAATCACAGTAGAATTACTACAGTTCAAGAAAGACACTTTAGTTGTAATAAACGTAAAAATGTAACAGGAAATAGAATATCAAATGAAATTAAGGGAATCTCTACAACAACAATTTAAGGATCATTAAATCCTTGATTGATGGCCAAGGTTAGGAAAGCGTCTGAACCAACCAACTTCTTCTTTCGGATACACAGATTAGGTTTCTTAATGTAGATTCTAACAGCCTAACCAGTATGTGTAATAGACAAACACCTGAGGTAAAACTGAGATTAGTTGGTATACGGTAGATGACTTTGAAAGCCACTTTGTTAAGATCAATTTTGTGTTCTGTTTCTACGAGATGAGACAATATGGAACTGATAGAGAAGATTTGTAGCTCAGGTGGATAACGAAAGCTTCGCAAATAAACCCACTATGGAACTATGAATGGTCTTTGTTTCTCCCTTACTTAACCCCTGGTGCAGGATTGTGTTTGAAAATCTGACGTGTTTATTTTTTTTACGTAGTTTCCCCTCTCTATTTGCTTATTTCAGCTACTCAAACGAATAATACTCGGCAGTCAACAGTGGCCAGTTGTGTCACTTTAATTTTAACTGATGGAGTTAGCGAAATTAAAGCAATAGAATTTGGTAGTCGACCTTCAACAGGATTACGATCGTCTGCCTTATCTTTCAATGAATTATCACAGAAACTTCGACCTGGTGTAAAAATTCGTCTACGTGGACCATTACTTCTACGCAACAATGTTCTTCTAGTTCCTCCTGGTGCTATACAATCATTATCTAGTCGTCAGTTAGAAGTTTTAGGCGGAGAGGTAATCATTTCTGTGTACTATTCCATATCTCTGGTATCATCGAAATTTTCATTAAATCTTTATCTTTTTTTTTGTTTTCCTTCACGTTCCCCAGTGGAACATAGGGCTCCAAGCTAGTGGCTTGAAGTTTCTGTAGCAGTGTTTATTTTACAGGATGGGGTTGCTAGCCTCATGCCCAACCTTTCCTCTTCACCAGCATTTTTTCTGCCGTGGTGAGGTAAAGGAGTGCGTTGATGGCCAGGGATCGAACCCCGAACCATGTGCATGGTCGGCGAGCGTCCTAACCACTATGCCACCGACGCCAAATCTTTATCTAAGTGTCATAAATCGTTCATTTTGCGTGTTGACTTAATATATTATGTAAAACTTGGGCATTGTGGTAATGTATGTAATTCCATATTGATTTGTTTATTAGATGGATATATCACACACAGAGTGTGAAACAGTATTATTACATTCTGGATGACAAGGTTTCGAACAGCAGTTATTTCAGTTCATAATCGTATCACCAATTATAACCACACAACTTCGAAATTTTCAATTATTGGTTTTGTAGGGATTTGTTTTGTTTGATTGGTTAGAGGATTTCATCATGAGCTGACATCAGAGAACCACTGGAAAACCTGGGAGTACTGGACAGCTGTTTCGTCCTAGTTTGGCACTCCAGTGCTGGTTTTCTAGTGGTTCTCTAAGTAATGTCAGCTCATGATGAAATCCTCCAACCAATCAAACAAAAAAATCCCTACATAACCAATACTTGAAAATTAATCTGATGCTCACTAGCGACTGGTCCTATTCAGGCAGTTAACCTGGTGTTCTAGTGGGAAGCCGTGACCAATAGAGTACAGCAGGTCAAAGATGAGGCAGTAACTCATCGCAGAAGACATTGCGAAATGGTCGCGCTATGTCGTGAATTGGCAGAAGTTAGAATTCAAGAACCATAGGATCGGATCCCAGTGGCTCAATAGTCTACGAGCTCACTGGCTTTGTAACCAGAAGGTCCTGGGCTCGAATCCTGGTGGGTGCGTACTGATGAAGGGTCCCAAACTAGGACGAAACAGCTGTCCAGTACTCCCAGGTTTTCCAATGGCTCTCTAACTGATGTCAGCTCATGATGAAACTTCGAAATTCTCATTTTATGGTTTCCTATATTCCCTCCCATTCCTCGTGATGGGGGTCGTAGAATTTCCCAAGATATCCGAATGGACAGGTGTTGAAATCATTCCTATTACACTGGAATAGTAGGTCGGCGGGGTAGGGGGTGGTATACTTTGAAAAGGTTGACCGTACTGTTCAATTCCAAATTGTTGTTATTATTTATGATTATTATTGTTTAAAAAATTGATCACAATCATAAAAACCATCGTGACGACAATTTACTTGAAATACTGAAATTCACACCCACCCACCCCCCCCACACACACACACACGAAAACTCCCACTTGACTGGTTTGATCAATACTTAAGTTTATTCACCTGCCTAAACACTTTCACACATGTTTTAGAAAAGTGAATATACAAAGACTTTGTGTAATATATATTTTGTTCGTGACATGTGGTTATTTAAGGCGAATTTAATTCTCCTTAAAAAAAGGGAAGTAGTTTCTAATAATAATAGATTGTGTCAACCTTTAGCATTGTGGTAGTGTATGTAATTCCATATCAGTTTGTTTATTAGATGGATATATCACACACACAGTATTATTACATGCTGGATGACAGGTTTGCGCACACAATTTATTGCTGTCCTTAATCATATCACCAATTATAACCACACAACTTCGAAACTTGAGTTTTATAGTTTCCTATATTCCCTCCTATTCATCGTTGTGGAGGCAGTAGAATTTCCGAAGATGTCCAAATGGACAGGTGTTGAATCATACCTATTACACGTATTTTCATTGAGTTGATTCGATAAGTGATGCCTCCGTTGTTGTCATCAATCTCTTTCTCCGTCGTGTTGTTATATATTAGATCTTACAACTGTCATCTAATCCCCCACCCTATTGGTGTGCTTGTGTGTAATTGCATGTAGTGAGCCCGAGAAAATCACTCGAAGAGGCTATGAAGTTACATAGATTGAGATGGTTAGATCACGTGCTGCGTATGCCTAACCATCGTCTCCCCCGAAGGACGGGCATTACTAGCTGATATAGGTGCAGGTTGGAAAAGAGTAAGTGGTGGCCAAACAAAAACATGGCCTCATCAATCCATGAAATCCTTGACAGTTAAATTGAGTCAGGTAGGGAGATTCAGACTTCCGGGTTGGGGCCCGCCCTCGGGACTCTAAGAATCAATGAAGGCTGGAGACAATAGGTGACATGGCTCAAAATCGTTGTCAATGGCTTACGCAGATGTATTCAGTCTCTTTAACCTTCATATTCCTTTCTACCATTACTCATTCTGTTTTACTCTTATACTTATCTAAATTCTATTGATTCTCTTCACTCATTTTCCTGTCTACTTTTGTGTGCTATTTGGAACGTGGCGACTCGAACTGGTGCACTTCGGTGCCAAGTTCTATGTTGAATCCAGCAGCAGCAGCATGTAGTGAGTAGTATTGCAGTGATGTAATATAGACATAGTTTTCCAATGGAATATTATTCTCACAGTAAGAATCGTTGTATTTGTTGATAATGCCGAGAAAATACATTGCACTCTACTCGTACTCATGCAGCCAGGTGAGGGCTTATGGCGAGTTGTCATCTGAAGTGGTGACGACTAGTGGCGTCCGTCAAGGATGCCCATTATCCCCATTCCTATTCAACTTCATCATAGATGCACTAATGGACTTAACCCTAACTCACTTTAGCGACTCAGGGATTGACTTGCTACCAGGGAATAATCTCGTTGACTTAGAATATGCGGACGATATAGTCCTTCTAGGCGAGGACTCTGACAAAATGCAGAGTCTACTGAACACCTTGAGCTGCAATCTAAGAATGTTTGGCATGCGATTCGCCCCTGTAAAATGTAAGATGATGCTGCAGGATTGGACTTCACCAACCCCTAGATTAGAAATAGGAAGTGAAGTGGTACAACACGTTGACCGATTCAATTACTTGGGAAGTACCATCAGCCCCAACGGGTTGATCGCCGACGAAATCTCAGCACGAATACGGAGGGCTAGTTCTGCATATGCCAGTTTACGCTGTTTCTTGCTTAGTAGACGTGATATCCGACTATCGACCAAAGGGCGTGTGTACTGCTCATCAGTCCACTCCGTCCTCCTTTATATCTGTGAGACCTGGCCATTGAGACTGGAAGACATGAAAAGCCTGATCAGCTGTCTTTGATCATAGGTGTCTGCGCTCTATCTCCTGTGTGAAGTGGTTTAATAAGATGAGCAATAGTGAGATTAGGCGTCTAGTGCTAGGTAGAAAGGGGAAATCAATCAACCAGGCTGTGAAATTACATCGACTGAGATGGTTAGGAAATGTGTTACGTATACCTAGTCATCGCCTTCCTCGACAATGGGCAGTGTTAGCTGACATAAGATGAGTGAGGCTGGAAAAGAGATAGCGGCGGTCAAACCAAAACATGACTTCACCAGTCACTGAAATCTACAACAGTTAGTCTAAGCCAAGTAGGAAGGTGTAGACTGGCTTCCTGTTTGGGGTCCTCGGGACGGTAAACACCAATGGTTGGAAACAATTGATAACATGGCCCAAAATCGTTCTCAGTGGCGCAGATGCATCTACTCCTTGTGACTTATGATTTCCAATGAAACTGTTTTGTTCGTCGTTAATACTATACCTTTGTCTCACATCCCTGTTTACTATCTATATTATGCATTTCTTCTACTTTCTTTTCTTGCTTTGTGTGCTACAAGAAGGGAGTGTGGCGACTTGAACTGCCGCACATATGTGCAAAGTTCTATGTCAAAATCAGACAGACAGTATTTGTTGATGTTAACATGTGAATACTATACCCACCGTTTAATTTTTTTTAGAATTTTTTATTGTGGCTTGATTCTACACCGTATTTTCGGTATAAGTATGGAATTTTCAACATGTGATATCGGTAGACCAAATTTTGCAGGCTGACCAATCGATATCATGTGTGGTAACATCTCTGGCGGCAGAATCGGGTGATCCCAGATTGGATCTCAGAAAGGATATGAATTCCTTCAGGATTGCAAATATTCTTCAGCTGATATGTGTCAACAATCACGAAACGTCAGTTAAGCAGAGCAGCCTGCCAACTGCATTTAACCATTTAATAATAACAACAATTACGAGTCCACCGTAATGACGAGTCACATTGCAAACTAATAGACTAATAGAATTCAGTCTGCATCACCACCATCAAGGAGATTAGACGCATCACATGTCATTAGATACTACTACCCAGTGTTCAATCAAAATAGCACCACCACTACCTACTACTACTTATTGTATCCATCTTGAGAGATCTTCACTTCAAAGGAATCGCTGAGGCATTTGTTCAACCCATTAAGTTAATTACTACTACAGATCGTAATGAAAGTTAGTTTCCTGTTTAAATACACCTTCAACTGCTTCTCTGTGTCCGGAATTTAAGAGGTTAAATCGATGGACAGTTGAATCTGACAGGGAATAAACAGTGCGTAGGGGGGTGGCTGGTTCGTTGGTTGGTTGGTTGGTTGGTGTGTGATAAATAGAAAGAACACGTAAACAAGAATAATAATAACAACAACATCAAATGGACTTTTATGTGAACTTGACAATAACAAAACAAGAAAATAATGACAATGATGTTTCGTTTAGAAATACGCAGACTGAATTATTTGTTATAATAATCGTCAATATTACAAATGTTAGATTGTAGCATAAAAAAGGAAAGAAGATGCGAGATTGAATGCATACACTAGTGTGTTTACAGAAAAGCCACACACACACACACATTCAAACGGATATTTGGACCATATAAAGGACCATCTCACCTTATCTGTCTGTGTGTGTCAGTGAAAATAGTAGGATTGGTGAAATGTTTAGCTGACAATATAATAGGGCACAAAA